ATCCACACTACTTTGACAATGTGATGACGYAATTTATCGTCAAATAAGAGGACAGATACATTAGAAACTGATGTCTATTTGTTTTTTACAATAACAAAAACGATAAAAACTTCTCATTTTTAGCGATCAAAACAACCAACGGAAAGAGCGCGCGCTCGTTGACGTCAGCTTTAACTGTCTGTCCTGTCTGTCCTCTTATTGATGATAAAAATAGCCAATCAGCGCGCGAGAAATTTGTAAGTTATTGTAAAAATATGATGTCAATTTGTTAAGTAGTCGTTTTGTATAACCGTTGTAAAATCTACCAGATTTTATTGAAGAACCATACGCGTTTTGAGCTTCAACCGGGCAAAACCCTCAAATTTTGCACGGGACTTTCTATTTTTTAATAGCTTATTCGAAAAAACTCCTAAAAATCTAGGTTATATCAACATTTTAGGAAAAGTTAATTCTTCTAACACATGAAAAAATGTTCGACATTATGAGATTTTTTAAGAGCACCGAAACTACAAAATATGACAAATCAATTTATTTATTTGTCTTTTTGTCGACAATATCCACGTATTATGGTAGAATGATTGACTAGCCTCTACTTTCACATCACCATTATACTTTGCGTCTTTGGGGGGTAACCAGAGGGTAAAAACCCACTTATTTTGCCGAAGGCTGATCAGACAATATTGACAATACATTGTTTGGTATCCAAAAATAAAATGTAGAAGTAAAAAACAGAAAAAGATAGAAGCTTGAAGACGTTTAAGGTAAATCTTAAATATTTTTTCGTAAGTCAATACATTTTCTGTAAGACCAGAACTCTTGATCATCTGTACACGCAAAAATAACTTGGAATAAACTGATAACCAGTATTGTACAGATAAAAGCTGGTATAGTATAAATTCAATTAAGAAACCTTTCATTGATTGGTTACCCCCAAAGACGCAAGGCATTATGGGGATGTGAAAGTATTTTCTTATGAATTTGAATTTTTTCTAACCACTTCCGGTAGCGCAATTTTTGCTCCAAATGCTCGCGCGTAGGCTTCCATTAAATGATGATTATCTCGAAAAAAAACTCCGGAAACCCAATTTTTCTTTCCAGATTTGGAATTAGCGTTAAATTTCAATCCGGAAAATCCAAGCTTTAAAAAAAGTTTAAAATTTGTTCCAAAAGAAGGCAGTTACCTTAAACCGGACATTTAGGACGATTAAAGCCATCTTAGCGGTTGTCAGCCCGTCAGCGATTTTATGGGATGTTATGCATGAGTATCATCATCATTATGTACATAATTGTGTGGTCAGTGTTATCTTTATAAGACATTAAGCTTACTTTTCATTAAAATCAAAGTATTATTTATCTGCCACTTCCGCAAATCGTTACTGAATTTAAGACCAATGATTTCTACGGATATGCAAGATTCTTATTAAACTCTGCATAGGATAAAATCCTTAAAACCCCAAAATCTTAACTTAAAACAACCAAGCTGATTTAAGACATCGGCTAGTTATAGAAAACTTACCATTTATGGATAGATAATCTGTTGTTTCGGGAAGACGATTTGCTCGACGAATCATGCACTTTCTTTTAAACGTTTTGGTCTTTTACGCTTTTTTTTCTTTCAAAAAAGCTTTCCCAAGAACTTTTAAGCATAAATGAGGAATAGAAAAAATCATTTTGTGAGCATTTTGTAGGATTAGTTATGAATAATGCTCAATAAAAGTAACAAGAACTGAACTTTCCTAGAAGGTCGGCCGGTGAAACGAGTCGGCTGCGCGGCCGCGTCTACATTTTCCCGCCAAAAACGTTGCGAAAACTTTTTTTCCTAAAGAAAAAGAAAAGATAAAAGAAAAGCATTTTCCCCAAAGGAAACAAGGCAAAGAAATAAAGCATACGATATTTGTGAAAGAAAGGAGATAAGGAAAGTAAATAAATCTCAAAAATAAGTTTAGTAATAGTTTCAGCAACTTTGAATGGTTATCCTGTGCTTCGTCCCCAGACCCTCTCTAAACGGAAACAATATGGCGGAAAAGAATATTTCGTGTTAGCTCCGGGTTTTTTTGGGATTTGTTTGCAATTTTACCTTTTTTCCCAGCAAAATGAAGATAAAAGGAAGTGTTGCATTAATTACTGGTGGAGCTCAAGGAATTGGTAGAGAAATATGCAAGGCTCTTCTCGAAAGGGGTGCAAAAGTAAGTATTTTCGAAACAGATTTTTGACCAACATTTTTGACCAACATTTGACCTGGGGGCGTCTCTATTTTTCTGATCAAATAAGAAAGGTTTTTACGACTACAAAAGAAAAAATTTAGTCAGGATGTGAAACTTTTTTGTTTATGTGAAGCATTTAGATTGGTCATGAGATTGATGCTTTGAATATTAACGAAGATCTGGGTAAGGGAAGTAGATTGCCATAGTGAGTAAGAATTCGAGTACGGGGCAGTAAAAAGGAGAGTATGGGAGTTTGAAATTTGCAATGTCTCAATATTTTGGATATAAGTAGCGACTTTTACTAAAACATTTGACTAAGAAATTCAGCGATAAAAACTATATTTTAATAAACATTTTAAATAAAAGACGACGTTTCGACGTTTACGTAACGTCATTATAAAGTCAATAAGAATAAGAAAATACGAACTATATATATTAAATAAGGAAACAATTAAAGTTAATTACAAAAAGAAGGTATATGTACAAGAATAAAAGATAATAACAATATTTTGGGAAAACTATTAAAAGCATTGACAGGACCTTAAAGGTTCCCCCAATTTTAAATATACCATTAGCTTACAGAAAATAACTGTAATAATGAAAATACTACTACTACTACTACTAATAACAATTAATATCTTTATAGTACACTTAACAAAATTACTCGACTCTGATTGGTCGAGAGGAGTTCAATTATAGCGTTAATTGTACTCCGTAGGAGTACAGAATTAAGTCACTATGGCAACACAGCCAAAACAATGTCAAAACAATTATTTTCTATCATTTTGTACTTAGAAAACATATAAATAAAATTTTAAAGCAGTGAGAACTAATCTTTTTTATGCATTTCAGTTGTGCGATGGACTGAAAATCGGCTTCTAAATAGACAAAGATGAACGGCGTCGCTCCGCATTTTTTACACTGAAATTTTGTTGAGTCAACTATAAACAAAAAATCGCACGATCTTCTCGTACAATTTGGAATTGATAGACACTCGTAATGTTTTGAAAGTTCTTTAATTGCATCGTGCGATTTCCTATAGTAATTACCTTCTCATTAATCCTATATAGGTAACTGTCCAATTATTTTCTTAATTGGACAGGTCTTGTTGATATGGGAATAATTAAGCAAGTATATAATAAATAGGTAATGGGATTTCATGCTCCCCAATCACAGGTTTCCCATCCTCTGTTTTTGTATACTGGGCTTCCTGTATTGCAAACTAAAGCAATCTAAGTAAATCTCAGTAGAGTTTGAAAATCGCCCCTGAGAATATCTCTTAACTTCAAATCTTAAAAATAAATGTTCGAAGATAAATCCACAAAGTTTCATTTCTTTTTTGAAAATTTGAAATTGTTACTTACCAAAAACGGCTACCATCATTACCCACTCACCTTTTCTTTTTTGCTTGGTCCATAAGGCTGAAAATATCACTTCGAAACTATATAAACATAACTCAAGTCTAAAGTGAACTAGCTTTCTGAATGGTGATTTAAACGTGGTGCTTTGAAAACAACATCTGTGGAGACCCAACTGCATTTCTCTCCTTGAACGTTTATTGGTCCGTGGATAGAGCGGAAGTCAAAGATTTCTTCCGGTTTTACCCCCTAGGGACCCCAGGGGATTTGATATAGATGATATGAAATTGACCTGTTGGGGGTGGGGCTTGTCGTCGTTTGGTCTCAACTGGTCACTCTCAAATCAGAGATCATCGAAAGGTTGGGGTATTTCGGTGTTTAGAGGACCTTTTCTATAAAAATTTTTTTTCAATTTTCTTCAAATTCCAGTCAGAGCTTGTCGGATACCTCTTCTATCACATATCAAAAGCAGAGCAGCGAGCGATAAGAAAAAGCCATAATTTTCCCAAAAAGTTTGAAGGCCACTGGGTGCCGGGATTGGCGGAGTTGCCTACCTTGTCATCATTTTTCTTAACGGCAAATAGCATTCAAAACGGGAGCTCTCAAAAAACCCCTAAAACACCCAAAATCGTCTCAAAAACCACTCAAAAAGCTTCAACAACTATCTATCATTTATCTTCGAACATTTATTTTTAAGATTTGAAGTTAAGAGATTATATTCTCAGGGGTGATTTTCAAACTCTACTGAGATTTACTTAGATTGCTTTAGTTTGCAACACAGGAAGCCCAGTATACAAAAACAGAGGATGGGAAACCTGTGCCCCAATCAAGAAATAATTAGACTCGAAAAATTCCTCTGACTGCCAAATTGGACTAGGCGTACATCCTCATCTAATTTTTGAAGTCCTCAGAATTTTTCTCGTCCAATTATTTCTTAATTGGACAGCATGGAGTCCTATTACATATACTTATTATTTACTTTACTTTATAAATGAGTACAGTTCCCATGTATGCTCTAACAACTTATTTGAATAATGGTAGTCTGTTGTGGATTATTAAACCTGATGGAATTTTCTCTTGATCAACACATGCAATAGTCAATAAAAATAGCGATAAATTCTTGTATTTTCCGTTCATATTAGGTGTCAATTCTGGATATTAAAAAGGAAATTGGACAAGACCAGGTTAAAAACTTCCAAAACAAGTATGGCGAAAGCAGTGTAGCTTTTGTTCCCTGTGATGTTACAAACAAGAATCAAATGGAAGGTAAGTAAATACCCTAATTGGCTATTAAATGGAACGGGAAAGTTCAGAAACTCATCCTTGTGAAGTTTAGAGGGAAACTGCTAAACAGCTAGTATGCTGTAGTATATATTATACTGTTATACAGTAGTATATTAACCCACTTCCTTAATTGATATTCATTATGGTTCGTATCTAACAGCTGCATTTCAAAGATCCTGGGATGTCTTTGGAAATATTGACATTGTATGCAACAATGCAGGCATTGTTCACACTGCAGACATGACAGATGGAGTCTGGGATAAAATGATTGATGTAAATGTGGTACGTTCCTGATATAAACACTAAAAACATTTGCAAAGCTTAGTTTATTTAGGGACGCACAGGTGGCATAGTGGTGTGAGTGCTCACCTCTCATCAATGCGACCTGAGTTCAAGTCCCGGCAGGTTCAGTGTTATATATGAGTAGAGTTGTTTGTTGGTTCAGTCCTGTGCTTCAAGGGTTTTTCCGGATTCTCCGGTTTTCCTCCCAATGGAATGAGGGCCACAGGTTTGTTAGCCACTGGCTTTTAAGTGCTACCCTCATGAAAAAAGGAAATTTTTTTTTTATTCACTTCAGAAAGGTGTAGTCCTTGAAAACATCCTAGGAATAAAAGATATGATCCACTCCCTACCACCCTGATAGGAAATCCCTCAAGAGTAGTAGCTTGGCTTAGTTATTGCTACTGCATGCTCTTTTGTATTTGGTATTAAATTAACTTCAGAAAGGTGTACTCCTTGAAGCTACCCTCCCTACCACTACGTACCCATGACTGGAAATCCTCCAGAGAAGTTGTTTGGTGTTGGCCTAATTATAACTGCAATGCTCACTTTTTTCTAATAAATGAAATATTAAAATAATTTTGTTACTTTAGAAAGGCGTGGTTCATGGAACCATCTTAGGAATAAAATACATGAGCACCAATGGAAGCATGGGACATGGAGGAACAATTATCAATGTGGCCTCAATAGCAGGTATGTATTTTAATAGTAAACATTATGCAATCTTTTATGTTCAAAAACTCATGAATAATTGATGAGCATTTGAACCAATTGGAGCAACCATACACCACGTGCATGGACCTTTATACCCCATAAAGTCCTCTTCATTAGTATTCTTTATATAAAGAATACTAATATGGACAACCTTATCAGAATAAAGGTGCATCCAAGTTTAGATGAAGACTTAGAGCCTCATTAAGGTCAGTCTCACGTACAATCATCGACAACCTACAAATTATTGTCGTCTAGTGCCCCAGTCTTGAGTTCGGCATGTTGTGTCTTCAACTTGTGGGAGCCTTTTTTGCACTTACTGCGCATGGCAGTGACGTACAAACCTCAAAACGTACAACACAAGTATAAAAGTTAATGTTTGCGAGATATATGGTCGCTCTACTTCAACCAAAGTTTTTTTGAATTATACTTAAAGTTTTTGAAGCTGTTTAATAAACTCACAGATCGTGTTTTATTACGCCTCATGGTTTTAAACCCGATAGAACACTCCTGCTCGTTTATTAAACAGTACTTCATATCCTTGAAGCTGTTGAAGTGTATATCAAGAAGGAAAAAAAAAAAATTTCAAAATCACTTATATGTGAACAGTGTAATAGTATGGTTGCAGTATTTTTGTATGTGGTCTTCTAATTTAAAAGATATAGATATTTGAGATATCAATATGTAAATGAGATGACGTAAATTCAAGACTAATTTATTATACAAAAATGTTGTGGTGGAAAGTACTGCTGTTTTTTCATTTGCAAATAATCCTTATAACTGAAATATATTGTTTTGTACACTTTTGGGTTATTTCACTTTAGAACACTTGTCGTAAATCACACTGCAAAATGTAACACATTCTGGAATTTACGTCATCTCATTTACATATTGATATTTCAAATGTTTATATCTCCTAAAAGAAAATTTCACATACAAAAATACTGCAACCATATTACTACACTATTCACATATAAGTGATTTTGAAAATGAAAAAATTTCCTTGATATACACTTTAAAACCCATCAATATTAATAGAAAAATCCCATCAACATTTGGTAAGTACAGTATGCTCAAAGTGATTTGACTGTAATCACATTTTCTTATAATTTATTGTGTTGTAATGAAAGATTTTAATATCGATCCTTGAAGGTGCTCACTCTTTTAGACATTAACAGCAAAAGTCCTAGTTTTATGACCAATAGTTTTTTGACGTTTTTAAGAATTCAGCTCAATTTATTAATGTTCACTTCTAAGTTTCAAACTTTAAGCCACACAATATATCTTAAGCTTTGATGACAGCAGAATTTTCAAAAAAATCTTGTTCATTTATTGTCGATTGATGATCAATCAAATTTCAACGATCAGTCAACATTGTGACGTGTATCCCTGAAATGATTTGATTGTAATCAAATTTTCTTACTTACTGTATTTTAATCTGATTGATTCTTTAAAAAAATATTTTTTTGATTGGTTTTTTCAAGCATCTTTTTTTTTCATCCTCATTTGATTGCCCACATCATTTGTATTGGTCTTGTCTACCACAATTTGTCCACTTTCAATTACAGGCCTTGACTTTGTAGTTCTCATTCTTCAGTCTACATTTTTTAAATGTATGCATCATAGCCGCAATGCTGGTTGACTATTCCTCATTAAGCTTCTCATGTTAGATCAACTAAGGTGGCAGCTGTTCATTGTCTTTTGTATCTCAAGGGAATTTTCAGTCACTTGGTTGCACTCCAAGAATACAAATCCTGTCATATTGATGAATTGAGAGGTGTAATTATCACCATCCTATTTAATAATAATAATAATAATATTTATTTATAAAGCGCAAATACAAATCTGTTCTAAGCGCTAGTAAACAAACGACAAAGACAACGACAAAATAAAATWATTTACAAAGAATATGCTAATTTGAAGAGATAAGTTTTAAGTTCAGTTTTGAATGAGGCAAGACTTGATGCATTTCGGAGAGATATTGGAAGTGAGTTCAGGAGCAGCAATACCAATAGAATCCTATAAAAAAATATTTTTTATTTGTTTAGAAAAAATCATAAAATACTAAAATCAACTCTTACTTCAAAATTTCATTACTAGAAGTTTTTTAATGATGGCTAAATAATTTCTTCTATGCTGCAGTATCTTGATTATTTTTTGACAATATTTTCGAAGAAATACAGGGAAATTACAAATGCCCTTGTTAATTGCAGAAAGATTGAACAGATGTTTACTGATTCCCTATAGGTACACTTTGCTTGAGGCAAAATTATTCCTATTTTCTGTGTGACAGCTGAATTTTTAACCTAAGAAAAACGTCCTTTCTCCCCCCGCTCCCCCTCCCCTTGCAAATGGACCGATGGAGAAAAATGGAGTCTGTTTACGTAATTTTTAAAAAAGCAGGGGCCAAGGAGCAACCTAAAAAGAGGGGGGAAGTGGGGGCTAAGATTGAGACTAGTAGTAGAAAAAGTGTGTGTGTGTGGGGGGGGGGGGCTATAGCCCTTCCCCACCCTGTCCACAGCCCATGAAAAGATGTTTTTTTTTCCTATCAGGCCATTGTAAAGAATTGTTCAGTATTAAGAATTTTCTAAATTCACCATTCACTTTACCAAGTTCTTAGTTTGCTTGACAAATGTTTTGTATTTGCGTGTGTTCTTGAACAGCTGAAACATTCTGTTTGTTAATATTATACACATACTCTGATGACTATAATATTATAGTCTCACAGTACTTTTCCTCTTTGTGCATTATTCACCCTTTTTGTAGGTTGGAGATCTGAAATCTTGGATCTGAGTCCAAGTAGCACATCTGCATTTTGGCCAAAAAAAAACAAACAAACAAAAAAAAAACCAGAAAATCACAGAAAATCTTTTCAGATCTCAAACCGACAACGTTTTTTGAAATACGTGTATAAATCGAATGATAATACGTCAGTCGATCAAATTTTATATCAAATGAGACAGCAATGTGGTTCAAGAAACCATCTAATAATACTCTATTTGATATACGAATACAGTGAAGAGAAGAGATAGCTATCTAAAAACTAGTGTGATCTGCGTCGGTGTTTCTAATGAAACAGTAATGATAAAAGGGTAAATTATACACCGTGAAACGATTAAAAAGCTTACTGACGTTTCGGACGCTAGTCCTTCGTTGGAGTAAAAGAATACGATTACAGTATTTATTTGACGATATTAAGATAAGAACTAAATTGAAATCACGTTTTTATCATTATTGATATGTTCCGTATTTTTAATATTCAACTTTATTAGATAAAATTAGTATTGTAAGACATTTCGCTGAGTGCTTTGTTGCCGATGTTATCTTCTAGTTTAGTATTTGAGATAATCCTTTATTGTAAAAACAAAATGAACATCTTAACAAATTTTGCGGTCTAGCGTAAAAAAAGATTTCATTAACTCGTATTTTCCTTCTTATTCTTTTTTTGTTCCTTTTAAATAAGTCACTATATAATATAAGTTTATAAATTATATAAGTTATATAAACTAATATTTCACGTTATTGTCGTTACTTTTTATTTGTCACTGTTTTTACATTTTTATCTAATTTTGATGATTGGTATTCGTGCTACAAACCCACTCAAAACCTTTTTCTTCATTATTCGAAGTATTCTGGCAAATGTCGTTCGAAATTCTCGGTTTAAAAACCCGTATAATGCCCAATTTAAAGCGGAGTTTGAGAAAAGAAGCCACTTGGCAATATGGCTTACACTAAGCCTTCCAGGGAGACTTTCGTTTGATATCGCATCAATAGCATGGAAGATAAAAAATGGCAGTACACAAAATGAAAATGCGCCCACGAGAAGACTGATGGTCCGAGCGCCTTTCTTTGCTTTGAGTTTGCTTTGCTGTTCAGACAGATTGATCACTGCGTTCACTCTAATGGCCTGTTCCCTGGAAATCTTTAAGATTTTGACATTCGTTGCCAAGCAGACACTGAAAGGAATGAACACGTTGAGTATTAGTAAAGGGATCGAATGTTCCATCGAAACGGAAAGCTCCCTACACGTTGGTGTTGGGACATCCGGTTGCTCCCAGAGGAAGTACAAATAAATGCCATTAATAACCGCATACATCCAAGTACATCCCAAGACAATCAGTGTCTTTTTGGATATTTCCGTGCTGTAATAAAGTGGTCTGGTTATAGCGTTGACCTTGTCAATACTCATGACAGTCAGATTGACCAACGATGATGTTCCCAGTGCCACGAACAAGGAGTTCCAAACGTTGCACGTCACTCGGGAAAATGGCCATTTTGGAAATTTTGCAAGGTGGACGCTGTCAAGAGACATGACTAACGTGGCTGTCAACAAGTCTGCCGTAACAAGACTGACGAAAAACGCGTTAGTTTTTGTCCTGAGTGAAATATTTGCGTAGAAGGATGCATATATCAAAATGGCCCCCAAAATTGTCACGACTACTAAGAAGGAGTCGTAGATTTGTCCAGCAAGAAAAAACCCTTTTCCAACCATGATTTGTGATGGATTTACATTTGACTAAGGTACCTCGTACCTGAGGTTTTTTACTGGAGTGTTCCGAGCTGAAATCCACGTTCTTTTATCCTCATTCAAGTTTCTTTCCCCAGTCCCTCCGCACAGCTGGCCGTGTTCTATTTTTTGAAAATGAACTAATTGAACTCGGAGACACACCTGATGTAAAACATCGAAAGTGATTTTGAATATTTAAAAAAAAAAAAGATTCACAGGAAACCAAACAAATTATACCACTGGCTTAAAAATTTTGAAAATTAGGCTAAATTTTCTTTGAAAAACTGAACATCCTAGTGCCAATCTTTTAAACATTTCAATTATAAACTGAGTAATTAAAATCTGTAGGTTGAAGGTTTTCAATTTTAGTCGCAAAATTTGATTATTTTTACGTATGTTTTATTAATGATTTTTGATAACTAACTTCTAATTAAGCAGAAAGTAAAATATTTGACGGTGTTCACCGCATTTGTCTGTGTTTTCTGCCCCTGGCGGGTCTAATAGCTTGCGCAGTTTGTGTATGTGAATGTGTGTGAGAATTATATATAAGATATTTAA